ACCCCACTATCAATGAAATAACTAGCCTTTATTGAGCCCTTACTAATTGCCAGTCAGACTGAAAAGCATGTGTAGTCATTTCATTTCATTCTTTTTCTTTCTTTCTTTCTTTTTAGACTTTTTGTCATACGGCTTATACACTCACTGGAGAGAGAGAAAGAAGGAAAGTGAGAAATCACCTCCCAGGGGAATAGCCATACCACAATCCCTTCTCCTCCATTATTCTCTCAGGATCTTGGGCATGCACACACACACCCTGTGGGTTTTTCAGGCCACCAGGTCCAGGACTCAAACCACAGGGTTGGCCAGGTGGAATCCAATGCCTTAACCACCTTGCCACCTGCTGGCCCATTTCACCCAATTCTTCAAGTCACAAAAGGAAGTGAATTCAGAGAAGATCTTCAGGTTAGGAGGGGTTGAGTCAGCCATCCCACAGCTTAGTGTATGTCTTGGACAAGTAACTGTGATGAAGTGCCAGCCCGTCTGTCTGCAGAGTCTTGACCAATATGCTGTAATACCCCTGCGAGGATGTACTAGTTAGGATTTTTTCCTCTGATATCAAAACCAGAAGCCTTTGATTATGACCTGCTATGTGATGTTATACCCGCTGAGTCATACTAAAGAAGACTCACTCCCAGGGATGGGAATCTGAGCTGCATTGCTGAATTTCTCACACTCCAAACCTCAGTTGTATGTTGCATTCATCTTTCTCCCTCTTCTTTCTAGCCTGCTCTCCAGTTCCTTATTCTCCACTGCAAGTTCTCCACTCTCACTGGTACTTTCAGTTTCCTAAGCCATCCCTTCACTCCCCAGCTTCCTGCTTTTATTGGAACTGTCCCTCCACTTAGAACATCCTTCTTCCTCTTGTCTCTCTTCCCCATTCCATCTTCCTCACCCTGTCATTAGTCCCAATTTCATCTTGTCAAACACTTAACTATTTAGTGAGGTTCAGGCCAACTTTAAAGGGGTCAAACCAAGCTATAGATTATCTATTATATAAGAGATTCTTCAAAACTCATTGTTCACAGAGGGACTGCCTTAGTCAGATTCATCCTCTCCTTTCTACATAACCTTCATTCTGTTTAATGATTGTTATTGTATGTACCAAATTCTGACTTGCATTAAAGCTAATAATGTACACCTCTGTCTCTCCCATTAGAGAAGTAAAAGCCATCCTAACATCTTTGTTATATACATAGTGCATATACATATATATCACATATACTGAACTGAATCTCCAGTTATTGGTGGAAAATTGTGTGAATGTGGGAAGATTTTTTTCATTTGCCTATAATAAGCAAAAATAATGAGATAAATAGAAAAATATCTAAAATATATATTATATATACACATACATTTGCCCATAATAATCAAAAATTATGAGCTAGACAGAAAAATACTTCGAATATATATTACATAATATACTATATACTACATACTGTATAGTATATATTATATATTATAATATATGGTTATATGTATATACATATTATATAGATCATGCACACATATATATAATATATATAATATGTGTATTTGTGCATATATATATATGCGCACACGCACACACATGGAGTTCTATACATGAGGGGACTTCAAAGCCTGTGGAAGGCCAACCAGTCACATGGTGATTAAGGCAGTTGGATTCCACATGGCCAACTATGCAGTTTGAGTCCCACACCTGGAGGCTTGAGAAACACATTGGATGCGTGTGTGCATATCCAAAATCCAAAAAGGAGAAAGAAATGGAAAAGAAGGGATTGTACCATCCTCTTCCCCTCCTGCCCTCTCTCTCCCCTCCCTCTACCTCCTCCAGTGAGCACATGTATACCCTCTAGCAAATTTGTTCCAAAAAAGAGAAAAAAAAATTTGTCTGGAATCATATAAGACCACCTATCAGGACCAGCACATAGCATAATGGTTACATCACTAGATTCCCACATATTCAAACACAGTTCAAGTCCCAGACCCAGTGGCTTAAAACACACCAAGCAGGTGTGCATGTGTGCCCAAAATCCTGAGGAAAATGGAGGAGAAGGGATTGTAGCATGGCCATCCCCCCAGGAGATGATTTCTTGCTTTCTTTCTGTCTGTCTATCTCTCTGGCAAGCACACATGCCCTTTACCAAAACTTTCTCTAAAATTTTTTTTTTAAAAAAAAAAAAGACCCCTCACCAAGGCAATATGGCACAAAAAGAATAAAGTTGGAGGTATCTCACTACCTAATCACAAAATATATTACAAAGTTATGATAATTAAAACAGCATGGCACTGGCACAAAAACAGGCACATAATCCAATGGATTACACTAGAGAATCCAGAAATAAACCCAATCAATGTATAGCCAACTGATATATGACAAAACACATCAGACAATTCAGTGGAGAAAGGAAATTATTTTCAGCAAACAGTATTGGGAAAACTGGATAACCACTTGCTTAAAAAAGAAAGAAAGAAAGAAAGAAAGAAAGAAAGAAAGAAAGAAAGAAAGAAACTAGACCCCTGTCTCTCACCACTAACAAACATCAATTTAAAATGACCAAAGATCTAAATGTAAAGCCTCAAACTATAAACCTAATTGTGGAAAACACAGGAGAAACACTTGAAGACATTGAATAGACAAAAATTTCTTAAATAAGACCCCTAAAATGCAGGCAATAATTCTCAAAATAAATAAGTGGGATTACATCAAACTAAAAAGCTTCTGTACAGAAAAGGAAACAATAAATAAAGAGACATCCCACAGAATAGGAGAAAATATTTGCAAACTATACCTCAGATAAGGAATTAGTAACCAGAATATATAAGAAACTCAACAAAAAAACTTATAATCCAACTTAAAAATAGACAATTGGGACCAGCAGGTACCATAGAGTTTAAGATAGCTGGATCTCACATGGTCTACTCCACTGTTCAAGTCCTGGACCCAGAAACTTGAAAATCACACTGGATACATGTGCATGCATGCCCAACATCCTGAGAGGAGAATGAAGGAGATGATATTGCAGCATGGCTGTCCTTCTTGGGAATGTAGTGGTGATTTCTCATTTTCTCACTCTCTCTCATTCTCTTTCAATGTCTCTTCAGTGAATACATCTGCCCTATAGCAAAAAAATGTAATTGATCTGAACAGACAACTCTCAAGCTCTCAAAGGAAGATATGTGAATGGCCAAAAAGTATATGAAAAAAAATTCAATATCTCTTATTATAAAAGAAATGCAGATCAAAGCCACAATAAGGTATCACCTAACTCACTAAAATAGCTATGATAAAAAAAAAAAGGCAAGTACTGATGAAGCTATGTTGTAAAGGGAACTCTTCTGCACTGTTGGTGAGAATGTAGCCATTGTGGAAAACAATATGGAAGCACCTTAAAAATTTACAGATAGAATTTACAAAAAGATATGACCTGGTAATGCCGCTCCTGGGTATTTACTCAAAGGATAGGAAATTACTCAGTCAAAAAGATAATTTTTTTTAGATGTATTTGTTTTGCAAGTTTTTACACTGATGAAATAATTTTTGTTCTTTAAAATCCAAAAAGGAAATTAAAAATGATACTTAATTATTCTCAGTAGGGACCAATACATCCATGTTTATTGCAACATTATTTACAATAGCTAAAACATGGAATCCACCTATGTGTTGGGTTGATGACTGGATTTAAAATGTGGCATTTATACACAGTGGAATACTACTTGGCCATAAAGAAAAATTAAAGCTTGTCGTTTGACACAAAGTGATCAAATCTAGATGTAATGCTAAATGAAATAAGCCATACTATGAAAAACAAACACTGTATGCCCTCATCAATATATATTGAATATCTGCACTCGAAGGCAAAGAAGAAAACTGTGAACACCAGAGATTGCATAGGGGGTGGGGAAATGGGGAGATAGGCAGGGATCAAGGGGGAAAATCATTTAACAGATACAGGAATACAGAGGAAAATGGGTTGTGGAACTGGATATCACAACTGAGTGGAAAAATATATATATATAATGTGGTGTTCTTTGCTGAAAACTATGAATATGGTATTATCCTTGATTTGATTGTCACACTTTGCATGAACATTTTGAAAACTCACATTGTACCCCACAAAGATGTATAATCATTGACTGTAAATAAGAAATTATAAAATAAAATGGAAGAAAGTTTGCAGGGGCCAGCAGGGAGCATGGTAGTTGGGACCCTGGACTCCCACATGGCCAACTATGGTTCAAGTCCTGGACCCGGCAGCTTGCTATCTCAATTTCTTTCTCTCTCTCTCTCTCTCTCTCTCTCTCTCTCTCTCTTTGGTGAGTACACAAGCCCTATTGCAAATTTAAAAATAAATAAATAAAAATAAATAAATCTTAAAAATGTTTGTAGAAAACTGGTATTAAAGTTATTTCTTTGGGCACACAAAAAACTAAATTGATGCATTTTCAAAAGCTATTGAATAAAGTGAGAAATGATCAAAATCATACATTATAAAGCTGTACATTAAGATACTACATTTGTGAAAATCGTTGAAATGTCACACAAAATCTCATGCTGAGATTTGGTTGTGATGAGATTAAGAGGGCAAAAACTTCAACTAACTCTGGTATTAAAAGGTGAGGCCTTTGGGAGAAAATCACTAGGGCCCCCATGATTGACCATGGGTTTATAAGGAGAGAGAATGAAACCAGAACAGAGATGTGGATACAGGTGCACGTGCTCCTGCCCTCCACCATGTTGCTATCCAGAAAACCCTCGTCAGATTAGCCCCTGGACCTTGGACCTCCAAACCGTGAGTTGGATAAACCTCTATTTTTATAAAATTCTAAGTTTCTGATATTTTCTATTATTAGCAGTAGAATAGTCTGGAACAATGGGATATATACATACACACACACACACACACACACATATATATATGTACTTTTTTCCTCAAGTTTTACACTGACAAAATAATTTTTGTTCTTCAAAAATCCAAAATGGAAATGTAAAATGATACTTGTCATATTCTCTGTAGGAGCCAAGACTCAAAGACCAAACAAGTTTGGTTTGTTATTTCCTCAGAGATTAGAAACGACCGACCTCAAGAAACCACCAGAATGCTGCTAGAAGCTTCCATTTCAAAGAAACGATGTGGTGTTGGTAATGGACAGATCTAAAGAGACAGCCAGTATTATTCTGACCTGTGATATATTATTTCTGTTTCTGATGTGCTCTTTAAGAAGAAGAAAACATCCACTTCTACTTCCCTTTAACTCCCTACAACTGTACTGACTCCACTTAGTAATCAAAACAGCCTTAAAACCACATGCCTCATTATTTCACAGCTACTGACCATAAATAATAGTCTAATACTTCTGAGACTATAAATTATTCATATGAAAGTAATATCAACTTATTAAAAGCCATTGGATGAATCTGTGACCTTATTTGACAGCCCCTAGTTTGAGTGACAGCCTGCAAGAGTGTGAACAAAGCTGATATGTAGTAGACAGGATAAGCCCTCTTCTCCTACCCACCAAGTTGCTTTGGTTTGAAACCAGACGAACCACCTTTCTGAGAAGAAAAGGGTCTTTTCATGTGTGTGTTGGGGGGGCTCTATTTGGAGTGATAGACAAAGCTCATAAAATAATACTACTCTTCATTCTTAATAGTTAAATCACTTTCACATTTATTTAGCTTAAATACTGGCCACCTATCTAAAATCACTGAGATAACTGGGTTTTCTGTGTAACATAAAATAGCTTCTGGCTTAAGTACGAGAATGAGAAATATTTATTTTACAATGTATTGTAGAAAGATCATATTTATCTTGTCCCACTTTTTGCAGTAAATACTCTTTTACTAAATGGTACAAATATCGTAGTAAAAATGGAAGTAAATAATCAAAATCTGACTCTCTTTGGATCATCTTCATCAGCAATGGTTGACCTACCTCTAAATTCTGTACAGTCTTCTCTCAGCAGTGCCTTCCCTTTGGAAAGACACATCTCTGGTCAGCTAGTAGCAAAAGATGCTAATTTGATCACGCTGATTCCTTTTAATGCAAAGAGTGAATTGTTTTTAGACCACTGGTGATTAATGTGAGTATTGATTAGCTGATCAATAAGGCCACAGTGTCTAATTATTGATAATCCCTCTCCAAATGAAAGATCGAGTGTAAGGAGTCCTAGTTACAGAGTTCAAAATATAAAGTGATTCAATGTGATGCCTGGTAATTGAAAGTCAAACTAATCCCATAAATTAAATCACAACAATCCATAACATTTACCTGATAAATCCTTTGGAAGCTGTATTTAACTTTCACTATTCTGGACTTACGTTCCCCCTCATGCAGCCCTCTGAATATCTTAAAACACACAACCTGTTAAAGAGAGATAAAAAAATATTCTGAAATGATTTCTCTGAATGAAGTAAAGAGTCCAAATACACCGTTCTGATGGTTACATATTAAAAATAATGACTTCATCTCTGTATCACATCATAGAATGAAGAAAAAAGAAAACTTAGCATGAATTCTCAAGAGAACCAAAGGCCATCCCTGCCTTAGAATCACAGATCTGGCAGAAACTTTGGAGATTATGGGTTTTAAGAAACCTCCTCTTTCTCTTATGGAAAGTGTAGGGA